AGAAGTTGAATTTTTCTGTTATCTCCCTGTTCATCTGATTTCTATATGTAGGGTCCATGGCTATCCACAATGGTATATCGATTTTACATGTCATGTGAAGTCGGCAGAAATAACAGAGTACATGGATATACATATGCAAAGAGATTTCTAAAACACAACAAAACATTTGGTGAGGCTGAACGATATATGTTTTGCATTTTCTCTTCGTTTGAGATATATTTTAAATATAATGTTATTCTTACCATGAAATTATTAAGACGTGATGTCATTTTGGTATTCCAATTTTGTTTTTTACATTTTTAACCCTTTGTTTTGAACATTCTTTTTTATTGTTTTTTTTTTTGTTATAATTTGGTAGAAATTGAATTCTTCTGTCATTTCCCTATTCATATGCTTTCTATATGTAGAGTTTATGTCAAACCACAATGGTTTATCGTTTTACATGTAATGTGAAGTGGACAGAAATAACAGAGTACGTGCATACACATATGCAAAGACATGTCCACAGTAGAACACATATGACTGCTTTAGTCGTCAATATCAAAGTTCATGAGTTTGTTCGGTTTCTAAAACAGAACAAAACAGTTGGTGAGGCTGAAGATAATATGTTTTGCATTTTGTCTTCGTTTGAGATATATTTTAAATATAATGTTATTGTTACCATGAAATTGTTACCATGAAATCATTAAGACGTGATGTGATTTCAGTATTCCAATGCTTAAATGATTCATATTTTATTTGATTCATATTCGGCTATATGTCTTTGCAAACATAAGTTGTATTAAAGATCATTTCCAAAGGTACCCCTTTGTACATATGTTACCGTTTGTCTTTGAATTTCACTAACAAATGATTAACATACTTTTTAGTGTTTGCTTTAGGTGTGTTTTATAATAATTTTTTTGCTATGATTTGTTACATATTGAATCCTCCTGTTATTTGGCTGCAATAAAAGCTTTTAGTTCATTCTTGAAGATTTTATTTTATATTACATTCCATATCTTCCTACACATGGTATATTACATTCAAAGTATATAAATTATGCGATTGACAGTTTACTTTTTTTTTTCTCTTTTTTTGTTTACTTCATTTTTTTTTAGTTCTAACTGTAATTTTTTCCCCATATTATAACAGCTATACATTACATTCCATATCTTCCTACACTTCTACATTATAATTTTCAGTTTTTATTGGTTTCTTTTTTCCCTTTTTTTCGCTCTGTTTCTGACTTTTTGTATCTGTTACTTTTTTAACACACTCTATTACATTCCATATTATATAATATTTGGTTCACTTATTTAGCAAAAGTATATTTGATTGAATTTTCAAAATTTGTTAATATATTGGTATCTTTTTTATGCTAATTTTGTATCTCCCTTTTATTTTTAGCATGAAATCATTAAGATGTCATGTTATAATAGTATGGGACTGTTCACCGTATCCATATTTTATTTGATTCATATAGCTTTCTATATCTACTACCATTTGTCTTTCGATTTTGGTAACAAATTGTTAACATATTTACTACAGTTTGTTTTTAAGTGTGTTTCTTAATGTTTTTTTAGTTATAATTTGGTAGACATAAAATCTTGGTGTTCTTTGCCACTCACGAGAGCTTTTACTTTATGCTCACATACGCTTCTCTCCATACTATAACAGGTCTACATTAGATTCCATATCAATCTGAAAGATGTATGTTTTTTAATATTTTTTTATTATTATTAGTTTTTTTTATCTATATTCCATTAAATATTATATCTTTTCAGTTTCGTATATGTTTAGATATTAACTTCAATGTATGCTTACACACTTATTTAGAAATAGAAAAATATTAAATGTTAATATTTTGAAATTTCTTCATAATTACAGATTTGTACACTATCGAATTCCAGAAGAGAGGTCTTCCGCATTGTCATACTTTACTCTGGGTAAACAGTTCAGACAAAATAAAAAATCCAATTGATATTGACAAATATATTACAGCAGAGTTGCCGGATCCAATTAACGAGGTAGAATTGTACGAGACGATAACAAGTTGCATGATTCATGGCCCGTGTGGATCGCTTAATGAAAAGGCTCCATGTATGAGGGATGGTAAATGTACTAAACATTTCCCTCGACCCTTTGTTGACAGTACATTCTTTGACAGAGAGGGATATGTACGGTACAAACGTAGCGTAGATGCACATCATACTACCCGATATGGACAGGTTGTAGACAATGGATATGTGGTGCCCTACAATAAAAGGCTTTGTTCCCGTTTCCGTGCACACATCAATGTTGAATACTGTGGCTGGAATATGATGATTAAGTACATGTTCAAATATATTTCCAAAGGAGCTGATCGCATAAGATACACACTCCAAAAGGCAGAATCAACCAATCAGTCATCTGCAGCGCTGCCCACTACTAGCCATAACAGATCCGAAAATGAAGATATATGTGCTGTAAACGAGGTACAGAAATTTTTGGATGGGCGCTACATATGCCCACACGAAGCAGCATGGCGAATTTTAGACTTCCGTATACATCAACGTCATCTAGCTGTACATATTCTAACTGTACATGAGGAAAACATGCAACAATTGTTGTTCAATGGAGAAAACACAATACCTGAAATACTATCAAATCCGAACAGTAATATTACCACCCTACTTGCGTGGTTTGAAAGTAATGCAAGAGATGCAACAGGTCGTGATTTGACATACCTGGATTATCCAAAATCTTACAAATGGGAAAACTCATCTAAGTCATGGAGCCGAAGAATTTATGACTCGTCAAAAACAGTAGGTCGGCTTGTATTCGTACATCCTACATCCGGCGAATTATTTAACTTACGGATGCTACTCTGCCACCAAAAGGGATGTACATCATTTCAAGATTTGCGCACTGTACGAGGTACCGTTTACCCAAACTTTCGGGCTGCTTGCAATGCACTTGGATTGATAGGGGATGACATTGAATGGCTTACATGTTTCACAGAAGCTTCCATCTGGGCAACTGCATCACAGTTACGATCCCTTTTCTGCCACCTATTGATTTTTTGTGAGGTCAGCAATCCACGTTTACTATGGGATAGTGCATGTGATAAGATGAAAGATGACTATCTACATACCTTGAAACTCTAAATACCAGATAAGAATGTTGGTTCAACTGCTGACATAATTGAACAACAGTTGCTTCATGATTTAGATAATATGCTCCGTTCTGCTGTTCCATCCAAATCAATGGGTGATTTTGGCCTTCCGGTTCCTTCAGCTGATGTCATTGGTATTTTACAAAATCGTCTTCTACTCGAAGAATTGAGGTACGACAGGGAAGGGCTGATGAAAGAGCACAATGAGCTGGTGCCAAAATTAAACAGTGACCAAAGATCAGTCTATAATACAGTCGTCAGTTCCATAGAAAACAAAAAACAAATACTGATGTTTGTTTATGGACATGGGGGTACCGGCAAGACATTCCTATGGACAACCATTCTTTCCTATTTCAGATCCATAGGAAAGATTGTATTGGCTGTTGCTGCTTCTGGAATTGCGTCACTTTTGCTACCTTCTGGAACAACAGCACATTCAAGATTCAAGATACCTATCGACTTAACAGACAAAAAATCATGTGATATTAAAAAACGCTCCTTCCTTGGAGAACTTATGCAACATACAACACTCATTATTTGGGATGAAGCACCAATGAGTGACAGAAGGTGCTTTGAATTTTTGGACCGCTCACTTAGAGATGTGCTAGATTGTGATCAACAACCATTTGGACCGATATCGATGCTTCTCGGTGGTGATTTCCACCAGACTCTTCCCGTTGTACCAAAAAGCACATGTTCGGAAATCATTGCACTAACTTTACCGAGTTCATACCTATAGCCATATTTCACGGTTTGGATTTTACATACAAACATGAGACTACAATCATCTGACATAATAACTCAAAATTCAATGTCCACATCAGCTTTTGCAAGATGGTTGCTAGCTATTGGAGACGGAATCATAAGTATACCAGACAAAGATGACCCACGTGATTCAACTTGGGTACAAATTCCATCCTCACTCCTAATATCTGCCACTCCAAACTCTCTACAGACGTTGATAGATTTTGTTTATGGAGACGGTATACTTATCGACCCCACTGCTGCAGATCTTTCAGTAAGAGCAATAGTTTCTCCTACAAATGAGACAGCCGACGAAATAAACACCCACATTTTAAAAATCGTGAGAACAAGTGATAGAACATACAATAGTACAGACATCATGGAACCAAATGGAAAGCATACATCAGATATGGAAGGCTTGTATCCAATTGAATACCTAAACCAACTAAACATTCCAGGAATACCACCACATGAGCTTACAGTTAAAATACATTGTCCAATAATGTTAATAAGAAACATAAATCAGAGGGAAGGTTTATGTAACAGTACCCGACTCATTGTCTCCCAATTGTTACCAAACGTTATCGAAGCAACCATCATAACCGGCACTTGCATTGGAAAACATACATATATACCACGGATAAAATTCATACACAAATCATCGGATTTCCTATTCACGTTTTCACGAAAACAGTTTCCAGTGAAAGTTTGTTATGCGATGACTATCAACAAGAGTCAAGGACAGTCACTGCGTAGAATAAGCATCTATTTGTCACAGCCCGTCTTCGCACATGGACAACCTTATGTAGCACTATCCCGAGCAACATCACCAGATTCCATAAAAATACTAATAAAGACCAATGACACAGTGGAAGAGAATCAAACCAAAAACGTTGTCTTCAAAGATTTATTGCATAAACTTACTTCAACAGAGATCTATAGTATCACTACCTGTCATACCTTTCGTGAACACTTTTCTAAAGACCATTACTACTTTTTGAAATAGCTTCTGCTGTTGACTGCTTCCACATAATTTACATATCTATAAAATTTCTTATTCTTTTCCGAATATAACACTGATTTTCACACATTTCTTTCTATTAGAAAACGGAAACAACTCATGACGAGCCTTTCTGACTTGAAGACTGATGGTATTGGAGGCCCGCTACAAGTTAGAATACTGCGAAAATGGAAACATGATGTCCGGCGATACGAGACTTGGTATCTTGCTGTCGATAGATTTGTAAGTAGTCACCAGAAAAGATTACAACAAAATCAGGTTCTAAATTTTATATTTCGATGTTCTTTAAATATTAAAAAGTATGTTGATAACAAAAAATAAATTATTTACAGAAACTATAAATAAAAGTTCTTACAACAAAATTATTAATAACAATTATTTTATGTTTATAAAAGCATCGAGTTTGTTATTTTCAAAAAACTCATCTCTTTAATAAATGGTATATTCGTATATAATATGTCATAATCCGTAAATCATAAATATCCCTATTTGTAATAAAAACATATCTAATGTCAACTTATTAACAGCATGATGGAGAAACTACATTCATCGAATCATATAACAATCTCTTTTTACAGGCAGATGCTATACAAATTCTTGGACAACGAACAAATCAGAGTTACATTGAGTCTGTCCTCCATGTTTCACAGTGTTACACCATATCAGATTATAGTTGTCCTCAATTAGATAACTATCAAAAATTCCTTGAAAATGAGTTCTACATCGATGTTGGCCTCAAGTCCATCATACAACCAATTCGAGAGACAACAACAATACCCAAAACCTGGTTTCGGTTCGTATCAAAATCACATCTCATAGACCTCGGAGAAAGACCACCATACTATCCAGGTAATCATAATACCGAAATATCTGATTACATAGGTGTTTCTTACACATTTACATTTACTACTAAACATATTACATTGGTGTCTTATCAAAGATCAGAGAGTGTACCAAAGCAAGCAGGGAATCATTTGTCTTGCTCATACTAATGGATGAAAGGTATACATAGTAAAAAGCATATCACAGTTATCAATTTCTTCATACCTATCTAACACCAAAAAAAAAATTCAATTTTATTAGTGGTAGTGAACTTGCAATCAATCTATGGAAAGAATGTATAACCAATCCAGAAAAATTCAACCGCGACTCCTTGCATCAACCACCCGCGACAACGGTTGTTGCCGTCACGAACCTAAAACCATCCATATACAATGGTACTTTTTTTCTACTCAGCCCTCTATATATCGGTATTATCATTGTCATATAATGTTATGTCATGCACTCAATCTACAAATCACTTTTCTATAGGAGTATTACGTTATGGTTCATCACATGCTACACATATCTATGTGAATCCGGACATACCAGAAACAACAGCACTCATTAATCTGTGAGTCATAAATTACATTAAAATCAATTATTCCGTATGATAAACTTTCCCTACTAATAAGAAGATGACATCAGATTTACAGGACCTTCAAGACCAGCACCACCACTATCAGGAACACCATCAACCGTATATGACATGAAGAAAAAAAACAAATCTGATCTTCTGGTAACATCAACTTAATAATATCTCTATTTACAAATAACATTAGCTTCAGACATCCACATCCAATTCTTTTATATCCACAGGATAAAACATTCATCGTACAGGCTTCAATCAAAGAATTTCACTATCAAAACAGTTGGTTCCAAACAATATGTCCAATATGTAAAGATCACATCTTCAAAAGAGGTGAAAGCTGGTACTGCAGTGCACATGGACTAATCGAAAAGCCCACTTACATGTAAGCATCTTTTGAGTTAAATAAATCATCATTATTTTCTAACAAAAGTCTTTATGAATATTTTCCATTCATAGATACAAATTAACAGTAACCATCACTGATGCTACGGATACGATATCAGCACTAATATCCGAGACATCATGTCGGAAACTGTTAAAGTCATCACTTGAGAACTTTATATCCAATAACCCACACATAAACAGAAACACCCTACCTCCGATCATCACTGACCACAAGGAACAAACAAAAAAGATGTCGATCCAAATGCTTAGAGCATCAACCCTCAACAATATACGCTTCATAATAATAGATATTGAAGAGGCAACAACCAGGGCTCAAACGTCTGTGCCAGGAACACCAGCTCAACCACAAATGACAAGAATGCGACCAACTGACACAACACCAGAGCCATCAACACCTGTTGAACATGTTGTGCATACTCTCACCTACGATCCCCAAGGTAAACACCCAATAACAAAATCAAATTCAAAAACAAAAATACAAAAAAAAAAAATACTAACAATTTTCAATTCATGTCTAACAGAATCTGCACCAAGAAAAAATGCAAAGCGGACACTCAAACAGCAGACATCATAGACAAGCACCACAAATGGATCTTTTGTTTGGACCAATATCACTATCTTTTGTAATATAAATATATCATCATGATCCTTTTGTTTGAACCATTGTCACTTTCTTTTCTAATATAAACGTATCATGATGACCCCCTATAACTATAAACAATAACAAATAACTTCTCTTTGTATCAATACTCTTCTTCTAAATTTCATAGATGTTTCCACAAGAAAAAGAACGAACACTTTCTTTTCTTCTATGAATTAACGCACCACCTACATTATAACATGCATGATAGCTATTACCTAAAACATGAACACACACATACCGATTTAAATAAATAATCCGTTTAAATTATCCACTAATTAATAATATATTACGGTAACAACTATTATTAATACGCAATTAAATGCAGATACATACATCCTAGCAAACACATTGCATAACAAAAGAATATTTACGATCACTACTTATAAACTTACATAAATTACCACTTAAATTATACTAGATTCACTTAAATATTTGGGCAGGTGTTCTGACTCATATCACATCCAACCACCAAACAGTAGCCATCAAATTAATTACCAAATCCATGGTCAACGATTCTATCTACGAAATCAGCCAAGCAAACCTCATAGCCACCCTATCTACCACTTTTAAAAGCAGACTAGAAACCAACTAATACCTCTACAAAAATGCAAACAAACATCATGAATATCGTCATGTAGAAACCCATCGATCAACTCCAAACGATGAAGTTGTCCTTGGCAGATGTCCAAACGACGTACACCACTATCAACAATTCCAGACAGAACATGCTGCATGATGCTCCAACATAACTGCCATACATGCATGGTATCATCACCAACACTGTGAACGCCAATCTCGACAATGACACAGTCCTCATGCTCGATATGGTCGACATGATGCAACAGAATATGACAGCAGCTATCGATGTATGCAAGACAATCACTCAACACCACCCAGAAGCATGACGAATCAAAATCACAAGTTTTTTGCGACCGTATAACATGACTCCTACTGTTATCCGATACGTAATCATCCAGTAATAAATAAATATCTTTTCTTCCATAATCAGTCGTCTATTTGTATACTTATCCGTTAGAAAACCAAATCAATATAAACATATACAGATAGTCTTAGTTTTCCATTTAACAAAGATATAAAATAGGTTCAAACGCAGTCAAATAAATATTATTTATTTCAGAAGCCATAAAAATAAGACAGATGCTAAAAACGAAACCTCTGCCCCCCGTGTAGCGGGGAATAACCATCTAGTTTCTTATTAATTGTCTTTTCTTTTTATTATGATTTACAATTTTTCAACATTGTTATTGCTACTCGAGCGGTGCTTCTTTTTACTTAATACAATATCAACGATCCAATTAGAGAATGATCATTTTTGGAAGTTTTTATCATTGTAGTCTCGAATCATTTTGGTTTTCAAACTTGCGCAAATGGCACGGGGGCTTCCGCTACTTTTCTAATAAAACACCAGGAATTGGATCTTTAAACAATGCTTCTTTTCACAAATGTGCATTTTTGGTTCTTAATGTATAATGTTATATATGAGTATAATACTTTCATTTTTTTTTAAGTTGGTCTTGAGTTTATCATGAATTTTCATTCCTTTGAATTTGCAGTCACTAAACTCAGTAAATTACGAAACTCTTTGTAGAGAGAATTGTATGTTAGTATATATGCTAAATACTTGTAATGACTAATGAATCATGCCTCATTCTCATGGCTAACTTATTTGGTTTAGTTAGAAAACTGTAAATTTATTGTCGTCATTCAAGTACTCATAGTCATGTATTAAGTTTGTGCATTTCTTCACAAATCATTGCTTTTGGCGTTTCGAAGATTTTAGATGGAAAGACTATTATTTCCCATTAATTTTTAGGATATTATTTAATCTCTTCATTCATTCTTTTTAATTATTTGTATGCGTCTACATATCAATGTCATACACTAAAAAGGCTTATTTTTTAGTTTACTAATTGTCCCTAGAGACTCTTACACCTTGTTCCCGAGTATCACTTAACGAGGGAAGTGGAGAGAAAGGGAGGGAATCAGAGTGAAAGAGTAGTTCATCATCTTCCCCAGTTTTTTTGGAATGATTTAGGAAAAAACGAAAGGAAATCAGATGAAAATCATCCTTCTAATTATTCTTCCTTCCAAATTCGAGAGATTGGGATAGAAAGACAATCGATGATAAGGATAGCAACACATGATTATATAAGATCACATTATCATTAACAACATACAAAAGAAGATCGGTCTTCTCCCTGTTGTTTCGACGACTTTACTGCTTCGACAACCCTGCTCAATCTTATTGTTAAAATCGGTCCATCATCCATCAGGTTGCATTCTTCCATTCTTCTCATTTTGTATTTTTTTTGTGAAATCGTGTTCACAATATATATTACAACCTTTTTTTGGTTCATTACGATTTGTTTCTTCTTCATTATAGTTTAAAGTTGAATTGATTCGTTAGGTTACCTGTGATTATAGGTTTAGAACATCATTATATAGAAGTAAATATGAATGTTAATTATACGAAAGTAAATATGAAGTCAAACAGGAGGTGTTTATGTCAAAAACATTATGTGATTGTTCCTTTCAATAGAAAATACATGGATAAACTATCAATCAAGTGAGTCAATGCAATTCTCAAAATTACATTCAAAAAAGACGGAAATCAGTGAACCCATTAATTGTAAAGAGAAGCTTTCTTGTATGTACATCACTTACCACAGGAAGGAAAAAAAAGACTTGTTTTGTGTACCACAATACCAAGAATTTGTTGGTGGAGGTTGTAAAGGTAACTAATTATGTTGAAGAGTAGACATCTAATTTACATAATCAAAATTAAGCATAGGTTATTTTATTATATTTCAAGATCTTTCCTGTTGGACTATTTTGCCCTTGCTTTTATTTTGGGTGTGTGGATGTTTTTGCTGCTGTTAGGATGCCCTCTTTATAATCCTTCACATTTTGTACATAAAATAGTTCACATTGCTTTCAATAGGTATTAACCTTCCTTCACCTGCTCATATTCTTAAATCAAGACAAATGCAAGTTCTTCATCTAATTTGCTTGTTGATGGCTATTTTGGCACAACACAAAATTACCATCAACAATGGTCCTAATTTACCTACTAGAGAAACTCTTTTAAAATGTCGACGTGTACAGGAAGAGTTGTTACATAACCTTTCAAATGGTAGTCAATGTCGTGAGCTTATCCGTATGAGTGTGTAAGCTTTTAAGAAGCTATGCGTTATCTTACGACGTAATGGTGGTCTTTGACCTACTCAATGAATGTGTGTTAAAGAGCAAGTTGCAAGATTTTTTGCACATTGTAGGTAATGATTTGGGAAATACATTTGTCTATTGGATGTATCGGCACTCGAAATCCACAACGAGTAGGTGCTTCCATAGAGTTTTGCGCTCGGTTATAGCATTAGAAAGTCTTTATATTCAAAAACCACAAGGTGATGTTGTCTCCAAAGAAATTCAAGAGAAAAGGAGATCCTTTCCTTACTTCAAGAACTGTGTAGAGGCAATTGATGGTATACATTTTTGTGTCAAGGTACCTAATAAAGATGCCCTAGGTACCGTGGCCGCAAGGGTTACCCAACGATAAATGTCTTAGCTGCTTGTTCATTTGATTTAAAGTTTACGTATCTTTTAACCGGTTGGGAGGGTACTGCATCAGACTCAAGGATACTGAAGAATGCCTTCAATAGAGATGATAAACTAGTAATTCCAAATGGTAACTTCTAGTACCAACTTTTCATTTTTTTTTTGTTTAAATTATTAATAAAAAGCTAATTACAATTTAATTATAGGTTGCTATTATTTAGTAGACGCGGGTTTGCCTCACTCAACTGTATTAAGGGCACCATACAGAGGTGTTAGGTATCATTTAAAAGAATATTCCACAAGGGCACCACAAAATGCTAGATAGTTGTTCAATCTTCGTCACACATCATTACGTAATGCTATAGAGAGGGCATTTGGTGTTATAAAAAGAAGGTTCCATATCATTATAAGTACACAGGAACCTTTTTATTTTTGTGAAACACAATCAGACATTTTTTTAGCGTGTTGTATTTTACATAAATTTTTGATAGTCGGAGATCGTGACAATGATCTTGAAGATGAGGTATTACAGGAGGTGTTAAGTACACCAAGAGAGGAAGTGAGACATCATTAAAGTGGTGGGCGTGAGGGTAACAACATGTCAAAGCAACTGAGGAACTCAATTGCAAATCAAATGTGGACTAATTACTTATTAAATCCAAACAATGAAATAAATATGTCAACAGTGTTTAAGATTATTTTGTTATATTACGTCATTTGCAATTTGGTTTTTTATTGAACATTGTTTTGTGAATTTATTTGTGTTATTTAACTTTTTTAATGTTATTTTTTATAACTTGTACACTTTATAACTATGTTCTTTTTATAATAATGTATGTTTATTTTTATGTTATGTAGAAACCGATAATAAACAAGCAATAACCTTTTGTAAATACCGGTAAGAAGTCACTCTTGAACTGGATAGAACATATGGATGCTGCATTTGTTGATGCAATGGTACAACAACAAGAAAAAGGAAATAGGCTTCATGGAAATTTTACTTCACAAGCATATGCGAATATGGTTGAGGAGCTCAATAATTAACTTAACATGAATTTAACTAAAAGTCATCTAAAAAATCGTTTGAAAACTTTGAAATCTGGTTTTTCACAATGGTATGACATGTTCAATGGGATTTCCTTGAGTAGGTTCGGTTGGAATGCTAATACCCAACTAATTGAAGTAGATGAGCAGGTTTGGGATAACTTAATTAACGTTAGTGTTCATCTAAGGTTGTATTTAGTTTACTTTTATATTATGTTATTAATAATAATTTTAATTTATTGTGGTGTTTTTTAATAGTCAAAGCCTGAAGCAGTTATACTGAAGACAAAAAAGGTGGCCCACTTTGAACAAATACTGGTATTTTGCAAGAGATAGAGCTTCAGGAGAAAATGTTGAAACAGTAAAGGAGAGAAATGCTAGGTTTAACAAGACTACGGACATCAAAATAGAAAGTATTTCAGAGGTTGATGATTTATTAGCAAGTAATGATGTTACACCGGAGAACCATCATATAGATGATGATGATGAAGATGACATTCAAGTGGTATGTCCTATGCCTGAACAAAATTCAAGTGCGAAAAAGTGTAAACCTAAAAAAAGAAAATTCATAGATGAAGAAAAAAAGGAAGTTGAACCTCAGCCTCAACCTAAACTTGAAAGAATTGAAGCAAAGATTATGAATGTTGTTGGTGATGTGGCTAATGTTATGATGGAAGGTAACAAAATCTTTGAAAGTGCTTACCATCATGAGTTAACATGTGATGAAATTTATCAAGAATTGCAGCCGATGGGTTTGAAACCCAATGAAATACCAGGTGTTCTCATGTATTTGGGTCGTAACTAAGCAGATGCGAGGATGTTGTTTACTTGTCTAATGAACATACGGAAAGATCTACTAAAAACAATGATGGGCGCAGGTAAATGATGAATTGGGAGAATAGATGTTTATTTCTTGGTTCTTTGTTCGACTTTTTATTTTGCTTCACGAATTGAATTATGGTTTTTGGAATCGCAGTTTGATTAAATTGCATTGTTTTGGATGATTTTTATAGTTTGGCTTCTTTACAAATAGACAAATGCAATTAAAAGATATCCACAAGTGTTTTGATTTTAATATTATTTATGTTTTGCTACTCATTGATAATTTAATTTAATATTATAAGTAGGTGGTATTTGCAAAATACATATGTATGTGTAAACGAATGTGAAGACAAAAAAAAAAAAAGATAAGATTGTAATGCTGTTATTTAGCTTTCTTTTCTTTTCTTTTCGATCGAACTCGGTAACACATTTTAAAAAAAAAAAAAGAAAAAGAAAAAAAACTCCCTTTCCTTTCCTTCGGACTTGGGAACACGAAAAAGTTAATCACTTCCTTCCGCTCCCTTTCTTTTCTCTCCATATTTTCCTTCCCTTTCTTTTTTTTTCGTTTAATGAAACTTGGGAACAAGGCGTTAATTTGGTGTAAGATTTGTAGGAACAAGTTCAAAACGGATGAAGAGATGCGAAATAGAAATGCAATGAAGACAAATACCACTTAAAGAGTAATTGGCGGCTTTTATAAGAGTATTCAACAACCCCACGATAATCCGTGAAATAATTATTAGTTTTTATGTTTTAAACACTTAGTAATGTATTTGGAACTTTGAATGTACAGATAATGTTTATTATAGTGTTTATTTTTGGAAAACAATTTTTATCGGAACATGTTAAACACTTGTAATTTACTTGATACTTTGAAGTTAAATATAATGAGTTTTTTTTTTTTTTTTTTTTTTTTTTTTTTTTTTTTTTTTTGGGAAAAATATATAAAAACATTCTACTGCTTTTTTAAACCAAAAATCAATTTATTGAAGGCTTAAGGAAATTTCTGTCACGAAAAGTAAAAAACATTCATTGGTAATCCGTCACTAAAAGAGTCCATCGGTAATCTGTCACTAATAGTGTATGTCCGTAATCCATTGGAAAATATGGTCAAACCTGGTCAAAGAACATTCCATCAGTAATCTTATTCCCGATGTAATTTTCCATCGGTAATCCGTTACAAATTCTGTCGAAAATCCGTCACAAATAATGCCCACATTGTTTTTTTCCAATAGATCTAACTCTGTCTGTATTCAGTCCGAAATCGGCATAACCGATGAATTTCCGACGGATATGGCCGTCGAAAATAGTTTTCTAGTAGTGTGATTCCATCTCACTGTGAGTCTTACAAGGTTAAATTTAATCATTCTTTTCATGATTGGGATACTTTTAGTAAGCCTAAGGAAAGTTCAATAAAAGTTGAGGCGACTCACCGCTCCAAGTCCAAAGGAATAAAATATATGAACAAGTCTTATTGTCTCTTCTCACTGTATAAAATAATGCAAATTTTTTTCTTCAAACTCTATTTTAATAAAAAAGATATAAAAAGCAAATCCCATACATCAAGACCCATCTTTACGTGAAATACATTGTTCGGTAAAAACAACTCAAACTTTGATTTGAGGTAGTTTATTTACGCATACGATACATATATAAAATGTTAAACGGAAAATGAATTCAGCAATTGATCACATTTTATGGTACCAAAAAACACCTTTGTGTTCGCTAGCTTGGTCAGGCTCGATATACATGCATTCTTTAGCTTCCCTCCACATGGCTTTAAAGATTGGAGTCCTATCGATCTTATAAAACTCACCCAAAACTGGAATGATTGCATCTCTTGCCTCCTTTGCATGATAATGTGGAATGTATGAAATCAAGTGATGCAAAACATGGGTGTGTGTAACATCATGGAAAACTCTATTTAGGAATCCAAAGTCCCTATCAATTGTTGACAGGGCCCCTTTGATCCAGTTCCATTCGGTTGAATCATAATGAGGCAATGATAGATGAGTATGGTGCAAATAAGTTATAATAACGAAAAACATATGAACTCCTAGCACCGGAACTCCATATATGCACATTACCCAAGCAGCTCGTTTTGCTGTTACAGCAAGCTTGATTGCATAAAAGACGGCAAGAAGGCCAATATCTGATAGCAGAACCTGAATTCGCTCACGCTCGGTGAAAATTGGACTCATGGGATCAAAGTGGTTGGCAAACCTTCCGTATTTCTTTCCAGAAATATTAGTTAAGAGGTATAAAGGAAATCCTAGGGTGAACCTAAAAACTAAAGTGAATACTCGACCAGGTGGGTTATTAAGAATTTTTGAGTACCACGTGACTTTCGACTTCCGTTTAGGAATGTAAACTTCATCATTATCAAGTGAATTTGTGTTGGCATGGTGATTTCGATGGCTATATTTCCATGAAAAATAGGGTGTCATGAGAGCTGAGTGGAGGATAAAGCCGATAGTGTCATCAATCCATTGGTATTCACTAAAGGCATGGTGACCGCATTCATGACCAATGACCCATAAACCAGTGAGGATGCTAGCTTGACAGAACCAGTAAACTGGCCAAGCTAAGTAAGCTAGAGGAGTAGAAAGAAAAGGAATATATGTATTTGCAAGGAAGTAGAAAACGTAGGCAACAATGAGGTCGTGAACAACATAGTAAGATGAACGTATGACAGATCGTTTGAAGCAATGGGCAGGGATCGCTTTCTTTAAATCACTTAACGAAAACGGCGGATCAACCGGGACTCGTTCCAAAATCTTTTTGTCATCAAATGGGTCTGACATTCGACCACCTGCACCCATGTTGTAGATAGACGATTAACCTGCAAATATCGAAAGTATTGTGAGATCTATGTAAACTAAAGATAGATAGAATTAATTACAATAACATAAATCGCATGCGAAAAAGAAAGACCTTTAGAGAGAAGTTATGTATGAGTGATTGATTAGTTCACCAGGTGATGCTCTTTGGGGTTGGCTGACCTCTTATTTATAGTCCAAGAGTTGCGAAATTTAATGACATACTTACGCTACTGGGTATTGGATTTTATTGTTTAGGAAACATCACCATTCAAATTTGGCGGCTCTAAATAATAGATCCATTTGTTAATGGGAGATTCTAAATATATTAATGAAAAACTACACTTGCGTATATTTATTACATTGACTCATTAAATCTCACGTGACTGATTTTCTTATTGCTTATTTTTATATTAAGATCCTAATATATTAAAGAGTAAATTCCACAAATGGTCCCTATGGTTTTCGTAGTTTACGCATTTGGTTCTTAACTTATTTTTTTAACTTGGAAAATTCATATTATTTGTTTTTGTTACGCGTTTGGTTATTTTCTTACCTAAAAAGACAATATTTTCATTGATTTTTTTATTTATTTAAATAAACACAACCTCACCCTCAAATGGCCACCTTACCTTACATATCCATCATTTTTTTTCTATTTAAATAATATTCTTTTAAATAAGATAGGAACCAAATGCGTAATAAAAGGAAACAGCAGGGATCAAACGCATGAAAAAAACAAACACCACAGACGTTTCAAGTTTAAAAAATAAGTTAGGGACCAAGCACGCAAATTACCCCAATCCATAAAGATCATTCGTGTAATTTACTCTATATTAAAAAAGTTTTAACAAAAAGTTATAAATATAACTTTAACTATAATTTATAAAGACCATTCGTGTAATTTACTCTATATTAAAAAAGTTTTAACATAAAGTTATAAATATAACTTTAACTATAATTTCCGTCTCAAATTTCAATGGAAAATTCTTTATATATATCTAGATGTTGCGCATAGTTATATGTCTTGATGCTGAAATGTTAACATGAAGCACAGATGTTATTATATATTTATAGATGATCCAAATAATTGTTAGTTGGAGAAATATTAACTATTTAATTTATATATGAATTGGTTTTTGATATTTGTGGTCTAGTTATTAAAAGTATATTGAATTGTATTCCATATTTGTAATATGAAGCACCATTACAAGAAATCTTTGCGACTACCGTTTTAGTGTCGCCACTAGTGTGTTCCACTCTGATACGTGTCACTACAAGAAAACAGAAAATAGGGTATACTAAATGTAGTGCAGTTATTAAAAAAATCCATATTAGATGTGGTTATATTGATTTTTGTGAACGTTTTTTTGAAATAAATGGGAGTGAAAGAACTTTTCCACTTTTAATCATCCGATACTGATTCTTTTCTTTCTTTTTCACTGGTTTCCCCATGCCACCACTTCTCTCCTCCTCACCTTGAACACAAGGTCATCATCTCATCTTCCCATTCACTCCTCCATCCTTGTAAATTTTGTTTAGAAGATACAAGACTTCCTCATGTAAAAATAGAATTAGTAGAATTTTGATATAGTGTATGACCTAGTTTTGAGATTTTATTTAAATGGAATTCTTTTGAATATGTAATTTTGATGTAGAAGTAGAGTTTTGACATTTACGTTTCTTCTTACACCAGGTTGGAACTATTTGATTTTTTCTTTCGATTTCAGTTATATGTAGTCTCCAATTGAAGGAGCATCTAGATGTTTAAATGCAAGGCAACATTAAGTTTCATTAATGCTAACGAGAGTATCACTAGCATTGTTCTGATCCTATTTTAATGGAAGGTGATATAATGTTTTAATGCAATACTCTTATAATTTTTTCTATTGATTTTATTGGTTGATAATGGAGATTGGTGTGATTATACTCACTTTCATATGGGTATTATGGCGTGTAAGAAACAACATGTTGTACAAAGGCTTGGTGAACTCGACACATATCTTCTTTAATTAGATCCAAATGTTCTCTTATAATTGGATTAGAATAGATATAAATAACGTAGGAATCTGTCTTGTGATCTTTGGTGCTTAGATCCAAAAACTGTTTGTAATGTTGTTTTCAATTAGTGTCTTGTTGGTTGTTGCCATTTAATAAGATTTTTCTTGTTGTCCAAAAAAAGGAAAACAACACTGTCAATTTGGCTACAGTTTATAGTGATTATAACTGGGATATTTTGAATATTTACTATATGATTGTTATTTTAATATGTCCTCAATATCCATTATTGTTTCAATTATGTAGGAATTAGATGTAAATATTTTTAAAGGGATGTAAGATGCTCTGTTGTTATGTCTGATACTTTGTTGTTGAAAGCAGTAATGATGTCATATGTATGATACATGATCTTCTTCAAGGGTTAGGGGTTATTTGGTCAATTTATCTTATGTGAAATGTTTTTTTATATTTAAGGGAAATTTGGTCAATATGATTTATTATAATGGTTTCAAAATATACTAACTAATTCTAAGATGTCATAAAATCTTTAATTCTATGAAATTTATGAATAATTAAAGTGTTAGAATTTTCATAAATATTTAGAAAGCAATTAAGGTAGCATTTTGTACTTGGCACAAGACTAGATTAGACTAAAATAAAAGATGTTTTCCTAGAGTTGAATTTGTTTCTTAGATTAAAAACTAAACATTATAAAATCATATTAAAATTTTGTTTCTTACTATGATATTTTACTTTGAAAATCCTAATTGTTGTATTGTACTTTCAGTTTGTTACTTATTAGGATATTATACTATAAAAATCTTTGTGTTGCGTTATCTGCCCTGGCTTAACAATGTATTGTGGTGGTTCAATCTGAGTTCACCCTGTCATCACAACAATGAAGAGGCAGCATCAGTTGATGTCCGGGAGGTGGTCCCGGGACGAAGCTCCACCGATCTAGTAAGTGTGAGTGTGTACGATAGAATACAAAGGTAAGGCTTTTAGCTATAAGGAGGTCATCCTCCTCTCTGAAGGAGAATGAATCCTTTTATACCAATCATTTGTTGATCTAGATCCTAACGGTTTCCTTTGTCCCGTCTGGGCCAATAGGATGTAGGGAAGTCCCATTGGTGATTCATCCACCACTAGTATTCATCTCTGATATTGGTGTAATTGGAATAAAGGATAAAGCTCTAAGCATTACACTTGTTGCCCTAGGGAGTGGTTGATTTTGTTTTAGCTTATTATGGACTAGAGATTGTCATCTGGAGTTGGACCTACGTGTGAGAGCGCCAAGCACAAGAGTCCTAGTGCGAGGCCGTGAGGGTGATGGTGAGGGTATGACATTAGGCGGGTTACTAATCTTTAGCTAGGTCATCCTAAAGATAGCAACTCTATTATCTTTAACGTATTCCTAGAGGGATACGTTAACAAGTCCCCTAGGCTAGTAGGTGTAGGCATTGGCGCAACATGATCTAGTTTGGATGTTCGACTATTATGATGGAACCGTTAGCGCAAATGGATTTATCATGAGGATAATTCAATATTCCCGCTCCTCATTTAAACCTATCTCATTAAGAGCGGTTTTCTTCTCCCCTTTTCGTTCTCAACTGCTTCTGAATTCTCTTTGCATCCTCTTTCTTCTCTCTCGTGTTTGCACTAAAACAACAATAGTGATTGTTCGATTTGGAATCGAGCCAACTCTGGAGGAGTTTGAGTCTTTGCAGCTACGTTTTGATTTCAGGATGGAGCATGGAGTGCAGCTCATCTATCAGCCGTTGTCGGGGAAGGTCGGATTCCCAATTTGAATCTTTAGAGTGGGGTTGTGGTTACTGACGACTAATTTCTTTGATGAAATCATCCACCGATATGGCTTTTCTGTTGACGATTTTGAAGGGTTTTGAGCATTCTAACACTCCTAAGGTGTTCATGCAACCCTTGTAACACCCAGAATCCGAAAGACCAAGAAAGGAAAGGAAAGCCCTTAGCATAAGGAGTCAACTCGTCGAGTTCAAGGAAGAAATTAACGAGTCGGAGCGGGCTCCGTGTGGAAAAGTAAGTGACCGACTTGACGAGGTGGCGAGTGGACTCGGCGAGTCTGGTCTGGGTTGGGAAACCCTAATTCCAGGACTTGGTACACTATTTAAGCATCTTATTCTCTTCCCTAGGGTTCATTCTAAACCTCTCTCGTCCAGAACCCAATACCCTAGCCACCCAACTCCATTGTTTGAGCTTTTGAAGAAGTTCAAGGGCCAATGGAGTGCATCTTGGAGGCTTGGAAGGAAAAGGGAAAGGAAGGAAGAGCAGATCCAACCTCCATATCGATTTAGCAACTATTAGGAGGTAAAAGTCTGAATCTTGAGCTTTCAATTGATAGATCTCTTTCTAGCTTTTCCTTTTTGTCACAATTGGACCATTTCTAAGTAGAATTCGGGTGATAAGCCTTTGAGGATGGATTGGACAGCAGATCTGGACACTTTTGAGCTTTGGAAGCTCAAAATGGTTGGCTTTATCTAGTTAGGGTTCCATTTCTTGACCTTCATCTTCATAATTAGCTTCGATTTGGTGTTCTAGCCTCATAACACCATGCATGCACGTAAAGTTAGCAACTTTACGTGCAATGCTAGCATAAGGAGTCCAGATCTATGAGTTGGAGGTGTTGAGATGGACTAAAATCAACAGAGTAGAGATGTCACAAGGAGGACTCGGCGAGTCAGTTCATGGACTCGGTGAGTCGGGTCGCAAACCCAAATCCTTATGTTTATAAGTCGGATTAGTGAGTGGGGTTAAGGAGGATTATGTCAGTCAGGACCCATAATAGTTATGAAGATCGTAGCACTCGACGAGTTCAATGAGGAACTCAACGAGTCCAAGACAATTTTCTTAGTTATGAAGATGAACTCGACGAGTTGTTCATACAACTCGGCGAGTCAAAGCCTAGACTTTCATGCGATGATGATGAACTCGACGAGTTCGAAGATGAACTAGGCGAGTCGGTTGAAGAT